AAAGAAACTAAATCTTACCACCACAAAAAGCCATAGTGACAGTGTAATAATTTCCCTACTTAATTTCCAATTTTAGTAATTTTGGTCTTCTATTTTCTTGGTCAGTCTAGACAAAGGTTTGCAAATTTTGTTGATCTTTTTAAAAAAACAACTTTCAGTTTTGCTGTTTTTTCTCTATTTTTTAAAAATTCCCACTTTCATGTATTTCTGTTGTAATCTTTGTTATTTCTTACTTATATTTGCCTTTGTTTCAGTTTCCTCTATGTTTTCAATTTTCTTAAGGTAGAAGCTTACCTTACTGATTTGAGAATTTTCTTATTTTTAGAACAGGCGTTTACATGTATAAATCTTCCACTAAGCAATGCATGAACCCTGCATCCTACAAATTTTGATAAGTTGTGCTTTGATCTTTATCTCAAAGTACTCTCTAATTTCCCTGTGATATTTTTTACTCATTGTTCATTTAGGAGAGTATTGTTTAATTTCCACACTTTTGTGAATTTTCTACATTTCCTTCTGTTATTGTGGTCTGAAAATATATTTTCTATGATCTTAGTCTTTTTTTAAAAAAAAAAAAAAAGGAAAAATTTAAACAAAGTTCATGGAAAGATTTCCACTATCTTTCAATTCTATTTTTCCACAAACTTTTTGAAGTGCCCTTGTAATTATATTCTGTTTTACTGATTTTTTTATGTAATTTATGTTACTAAACTTAGATATTTAATTTCTGTTGTTGATTTCTTTTTATTAAGTGGACTTGTTGATTTGCTTAGAAATTAATTTGCCTTTGAAAAGTTTATTCATCTTCTTCTGTTGAAATTAATTTGATATTTGCATGCTTTTGGAAGACTTTAGAGAGATATTTCAAATAAGTGTAGAGACTATAAAATGAAATATGTAAATTTTAATGTTTTACATCTCCAGTTTTTGTGAGAATTTGAAGCCCTACTTTCTGCAGAGTATTTTGTTATTCGTCTGTTATTCAGTTTATATATTTGTTATTTGAACAAATAAATATGCCTGACCTTAAAATAACAAAACCATGGTATATATACACAATGGACTACTATTCAGCTATAAAAAAAATGATATCCTATCATTCATTTACAGCAACATGGATAGAACAGGAAACCACTGTGTTAAGCAAATTTAGGCACAAAAAGACAAGTACCGCATGATCTCACTCACATGTAGAATCTAAAGAAAAAAACAAGACATTCTCATAGAAGTAGATAGTAGAATAATGGTTAGCAGAGGAGGGGCAGGGAGTGGGGAGGAGGAGAGGTGGTGGACCACGGGATACAAAACTATACCATCTACCCTAAATGAATCATTGTGCAGTACATACAGCATGTTTGAAACAACACACTGAACTCCCACAATATGTACAATGTTAAAATACTTTGAATAAAAAAAAAGTTCCAAAAGTAGTTTATTGACAATTACTAATAATAAATAGTAAACACTGTGAGGAAAAGGGGGAGAGAATAGTGAAAGTAGACTAAGTCTTCATCTTTCATAATAGAGATTCCAAGTTGTATAAAGCTGACAAACTAAAAGATAATGAAGACTTAGTATTCTATAAAAATAATGGCTAAGCCAATGTGAAAACGCTTCTGCTACAACAGAAATTAAATATAAATCATTCAAAATGAGAAAAACAAAACAAAAACTGAGCTTATATCTTTTGCAAAATGTAGCTGAAGAATGTACTTATTGTATGATGTAAGGTTGTTTATGTAATGATTCATGAAAAATAAATTACTCCTTGAATTCAGTCACAGAAAAATAGGAACCTAAAACTTGTTCCCTTGCCTTTGTTAGGATGCCTAGCAGAAGCCAAAGCAAAACCACACCAATGGAAAACTCCTACAACCAGTCTTCAAAGGATTTCCACACAGAAAAACAAGCACCACTGAAAATAAGCTCAAAATTAAGAAATTAAAAAATTACAAAACATGTAAAGAAACCATCTACCATAAGCAAGAGCTAAAGGAAACAAGAAATAGAAAGATTAGCACCACCAAGTACAGCAGTTAATAGAGCAAAAACGCCACTCAAAAAGATATATTTTTTAAAAAGTATGACTAAAATTACTAAAGAAATAAAAGAAAGGCTAGAAATCATAAAGAACAAAATACAAGTAAAATCATCAGGCAGATTTGGAAAAAATCAAATAGAACTTCTAAAAATGAAAAATACAGTCTTTAAAAATTAAAAATTCAGGGCTGGCCTGGTGGCGCACTGGAGAGTGCGCCACTTGAGAGTGCGGCAGCACTCCCGCCGAGGGTTCGGATCCCACGTGGAGACCGGTTTCCGCTCACTGGCTGAGCGCAGTGCGGGCGCAACACCCAGGGTTGTGATCCCGTTGCCGGTCCCCAGTACGGGCGCGACACCGAGGGTTGCGATCCCGTTACTGGTCAATAAAAAAAGACAAAAAGGAAAAAAAAAATTAAAAATTCAATAGATGGGTTAAATAGCATCTCTGACAGACACAGTTGAAGAGATAATTAGGAGCTTTATGGCAGATCTCAGCAAATTGGTCTGAGGTGAGTAGAAGAGAAGTGAGAGACTATTGTCACGATAGCTTCTGTCCTATTCGAACTGTTATCTAATGCATTTATTATTTTGCAACACATTATTTAAAAATTAAGAACACTTATTTTTTTACAAAACTTAATTGAAGACAGTATTCTCTGTCATTTAATGCTCTGTATGTAAAGATTCATGCAAGAAGTAACTTCTTGAATTCATTCACAGGAAAATGAGAATCGAAAGCTTCTTTCCTTTTGCCTTAGTTGCAGAAATTCAGGAATAATTTCAGTGCTCAGCAGTAGTAGCTCATTCATAAACATATTTTATTCCTCATTTTAAGTTATTTTTTATTCCAATTTAATTTTTACTTTGTGTATGTACATATATTTATTTTTAAAGTCCTCTGGAATTCTTTTTGAAAGACAGTGGGAGTAAATCTATAAAATTCTTATATAAGATGTCAAAAGTTAAGAATTTGTTACTCTCCAAAAAGGGATTAATCTTACTTAGGTGTTTATGTTGATTTAATTCTTTCTCTAAAGTGTGTATATTCTTTAAGAGGTTTTAATTAGAAATTCATAATGAGGTAGTAGGACCAGTTTACCTTTTGTAAAATCTCTGACTGTGGAGCTGCTCTGGTTGAGACAAAGTAGAGGGAAAACATCTCAAAAGAGGGAAATGCCTGGCCCACTAGGCCCAGTGGGCTCTCGAGGGCTCACTGAGCACAGCTGGAAAAACGCTGCTACAATGATTTTTGTTTATCCAATTAATAAGAAGTTTGATTGTTCTGAACACAGAGTCAAAGTACTATGACAGAAAACTGCTAAAAGGAAACATCTATTTTTTTTTTATCATTATCTTTATAAATATAGAAACACAGACTTATAAGGGGAATTCGGTGATGATAAAGGAAATAAGAGAAAAAGGTAAAACTTAGGATATTGTTATTTTAGTCATAACTAATAGCATTTTTGCTGCTTCTCCTTAAAGCCAAACATAACAAAGTACTATAAGAATAACTACTGAAAATTAATCAAGTAATAGTTTTTTTTTTTTTTTTT